GTGCAGGAATTTAGGTGCACGAGATGAAGGAGGTAGTCAAGTTGTTAGATATGGGCTAGAAGTGGCATTCCGTCTTGCTAGAGATGTTAAACTTAGCACCCATGGGGCACACTATGTCTTATTTGTAATTGTAGATTTCATAGGTTTAAAAAAAAAACATTTTATTATTTATTTATTTATTATTATTATTATTTTTTTTGTAGTTTTTAGTTATTTAGTGTTTATTATTTCATACCCTTTGGGGACTTGTTCACTCTCACGTGATGGTGTCTAGTTACTTTCATTGACAGATTTTTGCTTTCAAGTTTTGGGGTACCACTTTGCTTGACAATTGCCTAAGCTTTGGACAGTTTGATTTTGACATTCATCAATTTTATGGTAATATTGTTCTAACCCTTTTTCTATTTTTGTTCTCATTGTACATTGAGGATAATTTGCATTTCAAGTTTGGGGGTATGGCAATATAATTGTAAGTTTGTTTATAAATTCCACACTTTTCGAAAAATTTGTAAATTTTTGCATTGTAGAGTTGAGAGCATGTGGTTGTAGCAATGATTTTATGTATGTGAAGCTAGTTTGGTGTCTCAAGTTGATTTTTAATGGATTAATACTCCATGTATGAGGAATTAGCTATTTTGGGGATAAATTAAAATTTTTTGACATCGTGTCTGCATAGGTGGTCCACATTATTAATCTTTTCACATTTTTTTGATTTCTGACTTTTAGGGTACTTCATTTTGCACATAAGTACACTTGCATTTATTCCGTAGGGGTATAAACTTGATATCCCGTTATATTTTGTAATTAACTGTGGGTTTGGAAAATTTGAGGACTATGGCATTATGATTGGAATGTATGCAATGCTAGATTGTTTTCCACTGAATAACTAGGATTTTTGCTTTAATAAGCATTGAGATTTCACGTCAACAGGTGGAAAATTTAGGAAAAAGGAAGTCGAAAAGTTAGTTTGAATTCGTAACCTAGTTAGCTTGAGTGATTAAGTCCTTTGAGGTATCTTGACACTTAATGCCCTAAAATTGGCCCGTTTGGGAGTCATTGACCGAAAGCTTGCTACATGAGTTATCTAGAGAGCTTAAGGGATCCGAACATTGCACTAAACTCTTATTGATGTAAAAGAAAAAAGAAAAAAAATTGAAATAAATGCATACACATGTTAGAATTGTTATTTATGTCTTGAGAATCAAAATTTGAAAAATTTGCTAGCAAGTTGAGAAATATTATGGAATATATATGAGCATGGATGGTAAGCCATATAAATGGATGTAAGTTCACTTTTAAAAGGATGTTAGAGTTCGAAATTGTTTGATATGTGGATTTAAGCTTTATGTGGGGACCATAATTTTTACGCACGATGTTGAAGCTACGAACTTATTTCTGACTGTGCATAATCTATATACTTGTTGTAATTTTTTGTTTATTAATTTTTGGAATACCTTTACTATGCTAAACAAGTGATAATTGAGCTAAATTTGAGATGTTTGTACGTATCAGAATTGGAAACCCTCACGAGACTATAACTCGTCCACTAGGGGTAACCTAGGGGTTTAAAGGCTTGTTGTATACGCTACATGCAATTGTTTCTCCCACAAAAGAGGAAGTTATCTTAGTTGCTTTATTTTAATTTTTGTTTTATATTGCTAAGGGACTAACAAAAATTAATTTTTGTTTTAATTTTTGGGGGTGTGATAAGAGATGAATGTTGCATATTCGAGCCCTTAGATTTGCATATTTTAATACCTTAGTAATGTTTATTTTCTATTAATTATGTTATTTTATTAATTTTTTTACATTTTTAGGTATTCTTCAGAAATTTAGTCAATTCCATTGCTTTAAAAGTATTTTAGTTCAATCAACGGATGGAAACCACGAGAGCTAGAGTATCAAGGTAATCTAATGGCTAAGATCATTCAAGAATATTTCTAAAATACTTTTAAAGGAGTTTTCAGCAAGCTAAATTCCTTTTTAGGTCATTGTATGAAGAAAAGAAGGTTTCCTTTTTAGACTTGAAGCCCGTCGTTTTTATGCCTAATAGTAGTTTTGAGATTCGTACTCCAAATAGTTCAAAACAACGTTGTAAACTGACTAAAATATAGAAAACTGTTTGGGCTTCTTTCTTTTGCCGGGGTTTTTCTATTTCCTTTCTTTGGGAGGAAACTCTACAATATATATATATATATATATATATATATATATATGGGAAGAGAGAGATTTGGCGGCTTTTAGGGTTTGGAAGATTGAAGATTCCAATTGGCAGTCCATGGAGATGGCTTCTACACCACCAATGATGACATTGTTCCTCTTCATGAGTAGCTAAAGCATTCCTTAGGGAATTGATGTAACCATAGTCCGAGCAGCATGGTTTAATTGTTCTTAACTTTGAAGATTTTTCTAAATTATGTATATTGATTGCATGGTTGTGAGCAATTGACTTAGTTGTACTACGCAATTGGGTTTTAATGATTATAATCAATTTTAATGAAATTAATCTCTTATGTTAATGTGTGAATGAATATTTTGATAATTTATGCCTAGGGAAGATGAGGGAAGACGAGTTGTACTACACCCTATATTAGAGAAGTTAGGTAGACAATTTGTGCCAACCGAAGATGAGTTATGGCTTAGTGTTTATTCATATATATCTTATTAATTGAATTAAAGTGTGTCTGTAGCCACTTGATTCCCGAATATATGTAAGTTTGAATTTCCCAATAGTTGAGACAATTGACCATGTTAGAAGGCTAGTGGTGAAGTCAATCCCTAAGTTCTTCTTCCATTGATCTCAATACTTGATAAGTTAGTTTAATTTCAGTTTTATTGCAATTTAGACATAGCTAAATACAAAATCATCTTTCTTCTTAAATTAAATTAGAATTAATTTTATACTTAATAATCCACCACAGTCCTTAAGAGTATCTACTGAACGTCAATATCACGATTCTTCAGGAGCTCGTGTGTGGAATATATTTTTGGTGAAATGTGCTTGGTTCTGTCATTTTTTATGTAACCTTCTCTTATCATTTTTTCATGTTAGTAAGTTGATTGCAAATGTTATATTAGGTCTAGTGCAATTTGTAAGGTACATAAAGGCACCGAAGTTCTTCGTCTTCTTGTTTAGGACGAAAATGATCTTTCTTAACATCAAGTGATCGGATAATCATTGGAGAACTCAAGGGGTGACCTTATCCATATAAAGCGCTTCAGGACTTTTTCAGTGTACGTTGACCGATGGATAAGAATTCCACTTGGTAAATGCTCGATCTGCAGGCGTAGACAAAATTTTGTTTTACTAAGATCTTTCATTTCGAATTCTTTCTTTAAATAATCAACAATCATGGTGAGTTCTTCAGGAGTTCTTACAAGATTTAGATTGTCAACAAATACAGTTATAATGGTAAATCCAGAATTTTGATTTCTTGGTAAAAGTGCATGGACAAACTGGATTATTCACATATCATTCTTTCAATAAGTACTCACTGAGACAATTGTACCACATGCGTCCAAATTGCTTCAATACTTACAAGGATCATTATAACTTGATCGAATACATGGTAATTTCAAGTTATTTCCTTCAAGCATTTTAAATCCTCCAGAGATCTTCATTTATATGTCACTATCTAGTGATCCATATAAATATGCCGTTACAACGTCCGTTGACGTATATCCAATCCATCCGAGACTACCAAACTAATCAAGAAGTTAAATGTGATTGCATCCATCACAAGAGAGTATGTATCTTCATAATCAATGACAGGTCTCTGTGAAAAACCTTAAGCTACAAGTCGAGCTTTACATCTCAAAATTTTATTTTTCTCATTACGTTTCTGTACAAATACCCATTTGTAGCCTATAGGATGGACATCTTCGTGTGTCTGGACTACATGTCCAAATACCACATGTTTTGCTAATAAGTTTAGCTATACCTGGATTGTTTCTTTCCATTTTGGTCAATTAATTATACGTTAACACTTTTTGAAGTTTTGAGGTTCAAGATCCTCATGATTACCTACAATATCAAGAGCAACTAAAAAAAGAGAATATATCATCAACAATAATTCGAGTTGGGCTCAAATTGACCATGTTCTAACTTGAGACCAACCCGAAAATAGGCCCAGGTTAAAATATGTCAACCCAAAGCTAACCCAATTTGTTGGTGAACCTAGCCCAATCTGAGAAATCTCGGGCTAGGTTCGAGTTGGGCTGGACCAGCCCGTCCCAACTTACAGCCCTACGCAAGATAGCCAAGACGATTATGCCAAAGTATAAAAATCAAGGGGTCATAGCACTTCTGGTACATTATAACACTTCAAGTGCCTGCACTTCTGGGTGCATCATAACACTTACTTTAGGTGATTGCACTTCTGGTGCATCACTACATGTGATTCAATTGCTCTTATAGTTGTTGAATACAACGCAAAAGTGAGCAGGAAGTTTTTCTAATACATGTTTCTGGCATGAAACAATAGATGTAGTAGTGCAGAAATAGACAACATTACTTTTATTTATAGTCTCAATATAGTATCTATTACGATGTATATCTTCTAAACTCAACATATTTCTTCTTGATCTGGTTAAGTGCAAATCATCATCAATATATAATTTTGTTCCACATGGTAACAAAATATTAACTTTTCCGGAGCCTTCAATCATGTCTGCAGGACTTGATATTGTATTTACACTAGCTTCTAATGTTATAAGAGAAAAATATTTGCTATCTCGAAAGATAGTGTGTGTTGTTGCACTATCGGCTAAACATACATCTTCACCATATTTCTTGGACTTAAGTCAATTCAATTGCCAGATCCATGCCTCTTCATACATGCAAATTTAAAATTGATTACTTCCAAAAAGAAATATGGAATAGTCAAGAGTGTTAACTTGGTTAAGCTACCCAGTCATCTTTTTTGATAGTGAATGCTGTTAATGCAAAAACATTACGCATCCTGAGAGCATTTAGCTTGCTAAATTAGCGGGAAGGTAACTAAACCAAATACGTACAAGACCTTAAACTTAAAAGAGGAAAACTACAACATATACTTGCTGACATTTTTGTTTGCATAGTCACGCTCAAAAAGGACAAAGCTATGGTTTGTACGGAACTATACAACAAATTGCAGTATGACAAAAAAAACCTTTACGCAGTAAATATTCAATCAGATAATAAAAAAGTGATAGTAAAAGCTTTCAACATAAAAATTTTATGAGGAAGGAGATAATTCCTTCCAATTTCAGAAACTAGATCTTCAGAACACCACATGCTATGAAACATGTTCAACAGTCTTCTAGGATGTAGCTGTTACTTCGTAGTGGAAATAAAAATGTGCTGAAGAAGCTGATGCAGGCATCTTCATATCGAAAATCCTGCACATTAGAGTTATAGTCTATGACAGAGAGAGATACTTGATATGATCCATGCATATTATTCTGATATGAGATAGAGGTAATTAAATTGAGTTTGCATAGCTTACCATGAAATGATTTGTGCATTGGACAACTGTATTATTCTTCTGATCAGATGCTGTCTACCACAGGTAGAGTTGTAGTCTCAAATATCAATAAATTGTGTCAATTGTATTCGACTTAAATTTGTATGATCTATCCAAAGGCATCGTCAGCTCAGAGACAATGGAGGGTGAACACAAGCAGCTTCTATGACAGAAAGATTCTTAGTTTTTATGATGGACCCACTCAACGCAAGTATATCATCTTGATGTATGGGTGCTGTACTGAGTTCATCAAAAAGGTTATGTCTATAGAGAGCATTAGTATTTTATAAGGGCTGGTAGTGATGCATGAAGTTCGGCCAAGCACTGAAAGATCCAATTGAGCAGCTGTTCTCTTGGTAGTTCCAAAAGAAGTTCTGCCTGCAAGATTGAAAAGAGGCAATATATGGGAGATAAGTAAGAACAGCCTGAAAGTTCTCAACTCTATGGAAGGTGAATAAAAGGTGTGCCAAAATCACTTTTCTTTAGTGAAAAACTTGTTTATAGAACTCAAGGACCAAAATACAAGTTGGGGATTTTCATGACCCGAAAAAAAAAAATAAAATAAAAAATTATAATAATAATAAAAAGCAGCAATAGACACTATCAATGCAGCCACTGTGTGCAAAATAATATCAAAGTTCAGTTTGTTGGAGTGGAGCGAGACCTAGAGCTTCTCTGGTCTGCTGTCTGGCAATGCAGAATAAGCTTTTAACCTTTGAAAATCTAAAGAAGAGGGGGCTGCCTTTAGTGTCTATCTGTCATAACTGCATGAACTCAGCCGATGATGTAGATCATCTTACCGTAAATTGTCCGTTTGCTAAAGCAATTAGGCAATGGTTGTCTGATGTCCTAGGGTGGAATATGCCTCAAGTCAGTTCGTTGATTCAATTGGCTGATTGGTTTGTCACCAAAGGGATTAAGCATAAGGCCCAAAAACGTATTTGTGCAACTGCTATTTGGTATGTGTGGAATGAGAGGAATTTGCGATTGCATCAGGAGGGTCGAAGAACTGCTATGGAAATTGCTAGAGCTATTTGTGGAGAGGTCCTAATGTTGTCTGGGATGGAGATGGGAGAGTTGTGCTCTGAGTCTCTATCTAATTGATACTTGTACCTGTTTGATTAAATGTGTTTATTCTCTAGTTGTCAGTAGACAACTTGTTTCCAAGGGATGCCTTGCTGATGATTTGTAATTTTTGTTATATCTATAGAAATTTTCCACTTTACCCAGGAAAAAAAAAAAAAAAAATATCAAAGTTCAGATTTGTTTTTAGTCTTTTGTCCCAACATATGGGTAGGTGGATCATGTGATAAATGAATACAGACAAAGATAGTAAGATACAGGGATGGAAAACAATATGGGACCCTTCTTGCATCATACTGTGCTCAGAATGAAAATTTGTTGCTAAAAATTTCGAAGACAAATTAATGACACTAGAAGATTTTAAATTGCTAAAATAATATTTGAAACCTAGTTTATGAATTCGAATTCAAATTAAAAGTGACCTTTCACTGGCTTTGTTCAATTAAAATAAGTGAAAACTAAGCACAGCCTATTGAAAATTTTGACCCATTTCAAATATATATTTTTAAGAAGTGAATCACTCTCACATTATAGAAAACCCACACTAAAGAAACCGCCAAGACTTCCAAAATCCAGCAATTAACAGGTCTATCAGAAATCAGATGAGCAGTCAAGTAGTGGCATCGCATGTCTCCTATATGTGTACTCTTTGGAAGCTCATGGAGCAAGTATGTGGAATATCCAGGTGAACTGGCTAACATTACAACCATCCATCATAAAAGCAGACATCTACAACGTAATTATAAATAACGTGCATATACTTTTTAATACCTTAATCTGGTCGTTCTCAAAAACCAGAGAATTTCGGTGAACATCAGAAGCCATTGAATCCTTGATCAGCTTGAAAACCTTTTTACTCATGCTTGTTTTCATGCCGACCATCTTTCCTGAAGCATATATTCTGGTAATCCCTAGATCTGCTGCCATTCTCTTCACATAAAGTTTCTTCAGTAGAATTTCCATGGAGTAAGGCTCCTTTCCATATTGGCGGCGTAGATTCTCTGTAAATTGCATCAAACTCCAGATGTCTTTTTCAGCAGCTTTTTCAGCTTCATTAATTATTTCCATGGGATTCTCCAGATAATTTATGTACTCAGAAGGGAGATGAGGATTTATATTCATATCGAGCTGGCATAAAAAAAAATGAGAACAGATGATAGTAACTAATTGACTGTTGATTTACGGTACAGTAGGGTAGATTACTAGATTCTACATGTCCATTTACATATTTTATATATCTGAGAATTTAACTATGCTCTTAATTTTATATTGAGACTCTCTCTCTCTCTATATATATATCTAACTTCATGTATGTGTGTTTACATGAAGAAAAGTGATGAGTCCAGGAAAGTTGCCATTCCACATTCCCACTCTGGATAGCTGAACCAAATAGTTACAGTACTACTGTTTTTGAAAAGGCAACTAGAAATTTTATAGAAGATACGGAACAAATACAAGAAAAACAAACGAACTCTACTTCTAAAGCAAAAAGGCCCACAAATAAAGAAGCTAGAAACTACCAAATAGAAAAAGGGAGGAGGAAAAACCAATATTTACAAACAGTTACAAAGCCTTGGGGAGGATAAAGTGTCACCCATAAAAACTAAAGAATGCTCGTTTAGCTAAAGAACCTATTAGGAAGTTGAGTCGTGTTGGCATATTCCTCATCAAAATAGCATTGTAATGTGTCAAGTGTCATTGAGCTGTTTGTGGACACAGTTGAAGACATGGCAGACACGGAATCTAAGAGATCACGGAATACTCAAAACACACATTTAGGTTACAAGTAATAGGACTATATGTTATGACAAATGCAGCAAAATAAAAACAAATCACGAAACACGACATAAAAGTAATTACGTCACACAAAGAACACAAAGATTAAACGTGGTTTGACACAAGTTGTGTCTACGTCCACGGTGAAGATCCGGCAAAATTTTTCACTATGTGAAAATCAGAAGATTACAAGTTTCAGTTCCCAAACCCTAACTTAGGGGTGCAACGTGGGCCTGCCCAACCCGAACCCGACCTCAACCCGGCTGTCCTGGTCAACCCATTTTCCTTTTTTTTTTTTCCCCCCAAAAGCAGGTAGGCCTACAGTTTTTATTCTTTTCCTGTTTGAATTTAATTTCAAGATAATTTTAAAAATAGTGTTAATATATATGAAAACCATGATTTATGGAATGACTTACCATATTAGTAGAGATTTGATTATGCTATAGAATATGCTGTGATTTGATTTAGTTTCCTTTCTTCAAATATGAGTATGTGCTCTTTTTTATCTATAAATACTAGAGCTGTGAATGAGTGATTCATCTCATTCAAGCCTTTACACAATTCTCACCTTCTTCTTTTTATATTTCTACTTGGTATCACGGCAACACCTTTCCACACCTTTCAGCAGCCTTACTACTTGTGCGATAATCACCTTAGGCTGTTTGTGACATCGTGTGACGTTGCCTACACATGTTTTTTTTTTTTTTTTTGTGTTACAGTCTTGTGATCGAAAAAAGGTATTTTTAAGTTTCACAATTTCTTTTTTACTCTTCTAGGGTTGGGTAAACTGGGATAGTTGGTCTCCAACACCTAGAAGGGTTTGGGTAAAAAAAAAATTTTAGTCCACAAAGAGGATCCGGATATTAAGGAGGAGGCTGTCTGGCTATATGTAAGTAGGCATCGCTCCTTAAAAAAAAGTATGTATTTGGATTTTTCGGGAATGGTCTGAGGAGACATTGTTATTATTTATGGTTTGAGGAGACCCTTTGATTTATTAACAAATTTTGTGGCGTTTTTGGAGGGTTTTTATTTATTTATTTATTTATTTTTTTGTTGTGTGATAGATTATGGCAGATTCAGGGTCCTCGACAATTAATTCTTTTGGTTCAAGTTCTGTGGGTGGTGGTGCCATTTTTTTCCACCAACTCATCAGAAAATCCAGGACTTCAAATCACCACAGTGAAGTTGGATGGTTCCAACTATTTGATTTGGGCACACAGTCTACCAAAATGTTCATTGGTGGCAAAAGCAAGATTGGCTATATTACTGGTTCTAAGAAAGAGCTAACTGAGTCTGAGAAGGCATATCCACAGTAGTTTGCAGATAACGCTATGGTTATGTCTTGGCTAGTCAATTCGATGCAACCAAACATAACTGTTGGCTATATGTTTATAAAGACTGCTAAGCAGATTTGGGATTCAGTTCAACGCACTTATTCTCAGAGGCAGAATAATGCACGAATTTTCCAGCTGGGGCGAGATATCACTAGGATTTCTCAGGGTGACTTGACAATTTCAGGTTACATCGCCAAGCTTCGTTCTATTTGGGAGGAGATGTCACATTATAATTCCTTCCACTCTTGGAAGGATCCAGATTATGCAGTGTTATATGTACGGATTATGGAGAAAAATCAAGTTTCAGTTTCTTGCCAAACGACGAGTTTAAGTATGCTTGTGTTCATTTATTGGGCTTATTTTCATTCCCTATTCTTGAGGATGCATACTCCTATGCGTTGTCAGATGAGAGCCGCTAGACTCATCCATGAAGTGTAGCTTCTGTTGATCGTTCTACTATGGCAGTTCGGGTTCCCAACCTTTCAAGAATTACACCATCCCAGTCAATTCAGAGCTCTACCACCAGTCCTCTGGGACGACAATGTGGACGATGTGAACATTGCGGAAAAATTGGTCGCATCAAATCTTCTTGTTATGCTCTACATGGATGCCCACCGCAACATAAACAACAACCTCGATCCTCTGCACATTCTGTTACACAACCAGTCTTGTTGTCAACTCCTGACAACTCTGCATCTAAATCTTCTACCACAGTCACCTTAACTCAAGCTTGATTTGGACAAGTTCAAACAATTCTTCAACTAAATGAAGACATCATCTCAGCCAACCTCCACTTATGCCCACTCAGGCACTATTGCGTCTGCACATAGCATATCTACATCTTCAACACCATGGATCATTGATTCTGGTGCTTAAGACAATATGACTGGTATGTCCTTATTTTTCTAATCTTATAGTATCTGCTTGCCGATGGCAATCAGTAACTCTTTTACTAACTTTGTCAGATACATTCATGTTCCACAATTGACTACAAATCTTAAATATGTTAGTAGCGTCACCAAACAATTAAATTGTAGTGTAACGCTCTTTCCCTCTCATTGTATTTTTCAAGATTTGGTGTCGAAACGGATGATTGGCAGTGGGCATGAAGTGGACGGTCTATACCTGTTGGATGCTCCTTTGTCACCTCAAGCACATTCAGCTTCATTTTCTAATTTTGTTTCATCTAATAAAGCCCAGCTTATGCGTTGGCATATGCGCTTAGGACATATTTCTTTCGGTTATTTAAAACATTTATTTCTTTATTTTGTAACGTGGCAGTGTCAGATTTATCCTGTGAGACATATCACATGGCTAAACATGTTTGTTCCAATTATCCTGCTAGTAGTAATAAATCTACTTTAACACCTTTTGATCTTGTTCATTCAGATGTGTGGGATCCTGGTCCAGTTATTTCTAGACTTGGATTTTGATATTTTGTGTTGTTCATTGATGATCATAGTCGTGTTACATGGGTTTATCTTATGAAAACAAAAAAGGAGGTGTACATAATTTTTAAAATTTTTATGACAATAGTTCAGACTCAATATGGTCGTACCATTAAAAAATTCAAATCTGACAAGGGTACGGAGTACACTTATGGGGAGGTACAACGGTTATATACATAATTTGGGATTGAGCATCAGATGGCGAATGTTAAAACTCCTCAACAGAATAGCCATTATGAGAGAAAGAATCGCCACATCCTTGACTTAGCCAGAGCAATCTGCAATGGCATGAATGTTCCCCAGTCATTTTGGGGAGATGCAGTTCTTACAGCTGTTTACATCATTAATAGGACTTCTTCTAGAGTTCTTAACTTTTCAACTCCACTCTCAATCTTACATCCCAATTTATCTCTTTTTTTTATTCCTCTACGAGTCTTCGGGGGTGTGCGCTTTGTTCAGTAGTTGGGGTAGACTCGTACAAAGCTTGACCCCAAGGCTTTGAAGTGTGTATTTTTGGGCTATTCTCACTCTCAAAAAGGTTATAGGTGTTACCATCCTCCTAGTCGTCGGCGGTTTATATCCATGGATGTTTCTTTTTTTGAGCATACACCATGCCACAGTGGTTCAATTGGTTCTTAAAGTGAATGGTTCCCTTTGAATATAATGGATGATCACCTTCTTCCATCTTTAACTCCTCTACCGTTACATGTTTCGTCTTTTATGATTCCTCCTCGTGATACCCCTCCAGCAACGGGAATTGTTCCTTTTCCACAGGTTTATAGTTGGAGACAATAGGTACAAGCTTCTACTCCCACGATCAACTGCCCTGTTCCTTCTGCACCAGCTCCGCCTTCTCAAGCTATTGTTTCGCTTGATGATTGCCTCATTGCTCTTCGAAAGGGTAAACGTTCTTGTACATATCGTATTTCTAATTTTGCTTCTGATTGTGCTCTCTCACCCTCCTATCGGAGTTTTCTTGTTTCTGTTGCCTCGGTTCCTCTTTCTTCTAGTGTTGAAGATGCACTAGCACAACCTCAATGGCGTGATGCTATGACAGAAGAACTACAAGCACTTGAGAAAAACCAGACTTGGGACATTGTTAGGCGCTGAATGTTATATATTTTAGCCCCTTTATTCGTATGTTTTATTCTCTTAATAATAGTTTATTTGTGATTTTACATTGTTTTATTGTTTTTATTTATTTCAGGGCTTTAATTGTAAAATCAGTCAAGACCAGTAATTCTGAGCTTTACAAGATGACTTTTCGTGGGGACCGAGCAATGTTGAAGATCCAAGTCTAATTATACTTAGAAAATAGTCTAAAGAAGCTACAAGTTGATGAGAATGGAAAGAAGAAGAAAAGGAAAAATCCTTCTCCAAAAAGGAAACTTTGCCAAAGTTGGTAACTTAAACCCGTTTTGGTAATCTGTCTGTATCTCTCTCCTCGAGTGTCAAAACAGCTAAATTCCCACGTTGGTTGATAGGAAATTCAATGAGCTACAATTTTGTGTTTCACGAGCTTTCCCTAAAACAACTGTTTACCTTGTCAAAATTGGCCTAGAAGTCTACA